GTCGCCCGGCCCTCTACAGAATCCACCCCCCAAACCTCCAGGTATTTCCCTCCTTAGAGCTGGCAACCCTACATTCCCCTCAGTGCCTGTTGGTAGGCAACTAAGCTTGGTCCTGTCACCTACTTTGGCCTTTGGGAGAAAACACATTGGGGCCAATCCTGATAGGGTTGCCAACTCCAGATGGGAAATTCCTGGAGACTTGAGGGATGGAGCCTGAAGAGGGTGAGGTTTGAGGAGGGGTGGGACCTCAGACAGGTACACTGCCATAGACTCCACCCTCCAAACCAGTCAGTCCCACATAGGGAACCATTGTTGCCAATCTCCAGGTGAGGGCTGGAGAGCACTCAGTATTACAACTGCTCTGCAGAAGGGAGGGCAGAAGTCAGCTGAAGTCAAAGGGGCAGATAATGGTAGGTTGGTGGCTAGCTGGGAAGGAGATGGGGTTGCCAACTACATGCTGACAAATTCCTGGGGATTTGAGGGGTGGAGCCTGGAGAGGGTGGGGTTTGCAGAGGGGTGGGACCTCAGACAGGTAGAATGCCATAGACTCCACCCTCCAAACCAGCCATTTTGTCCTGGGTAACAATTGTTGCCAATCTCCAGGTGAGGGCTGCAGATTACTCACAATTACAACTGCTCTTCAGGTAGCAGAGATCAGTTCCTCTGGAGAAAACAGTGGACTCTGTCATTATATCCTGCTGAGGTCACCACAGCAAATTGACACTGTTTGCCCAAAGCCAGAGCACTGCCCCAGAGCCTCTTTCTAGATCCCGTTGTATTGCTTTCACAACGGGCTTTACTGCTAGTACATAAATAAAAGTGCAGTACTAGGCATGCTGTTTCTGGTGGCAGCTGTGTGTTGAATATTATCTTTTTATCTTGCCCTTCTTTCAAGAAGTTCAGGGGGAGTGTCTCTACACCACCATTTTATCCTCATAACAAACCTGTGTAATAGGTTAGGCTGAAACAGTGAGAAAGAGAGAGAAGAGGAAGAGGAGATTGGATTTATACTCTGCCCTTCACTCAGAATCTCAGAGCAGCTTACAAACTCCCTTCCCCTCCCCACAACAGACACCCTGTGAGGTGGGTGGGGCTGAGAGAGCTCTTTCGAGAGCTGCCCTTTCAAGGACAGCTCTTGTCAGAACTATGGCTTGCCTAAGGTCATCCAGCAGCTGCAAGTGGAGGAGTGGGGAATCAAACCCGGTTCTCCCAGATTAAACTCCACACACTTAACCACTACATCAAACTGGCCTTGTAGTGCTATTCTAAGCAGACTTGTACCCTTCTAAGTCTATTGAAATCAACGGACTTACGTGGCTGTAACTCTGCTCATAATGGCACTGTTGGTCACCCAGTGAATTTTATGACAGAGTAACAAATTGAACTTGGGTTTCTCCAGTTTCCTTCCCCAGCATTCTAGCCACTATGTAATGTGTCATCAATATATCTGATTCTCAGCTTGTTCCTATCTGTGGACAACTATATCCAAAGATTGAAGCTATGAACAAAGAAGACAGATTTCTCTAAAAACTTAAGAAAAGCTCTACGCTTTAAGAAAAATCTGAAAACTTAAAAAAAACCCAACACCCATGGGGTTAAACCATTCCCCCCCCCCCCCCCC